GTGTACTGGGCCCGGGGGGAGAGCAATGTAGAGACAAGTTGTCTTCATGGGGTGAATCTTGCGACATCCTGTGAAGAGATTGGTAAACACAGAATTTTGAGCCAAGGTGAAATACTGTATAGAACTGGCTTGCTAGCTAGTACCAAATGGCGAAGAACTTAACTAACCGTGATAGGTGAATCCCTGCTAGTTGCCAAGGGGCGAGGAGAGGCTCTACCTATGATTTGGCCCGTGGGGAAATGTGGCCACCGAACGATGTGGCAGGATGTTGGCCTCTCTGTGACAGTATAGAGCAGGGGTGTCAAACTCAAATTCATTGGGGGCCGCATCAGCAGTTTGGTCACCCTCAAAGGGCCGGTTGTATCTGTAGGACTATGTGTCCACTCTTTATTATCATAAATTATTGTCACTGCATTCAATTATTACTGTTTTTTGTAATAATGTAAGTAATAACTAGCTCTGAAAGCAGAAACATAGTGTGTATATAGTGTGTGTATATGGGGGGCAGTATAGGTGTATATAGTGTGTGTATATGGGGGGCAGTATGTGTGTATGGGGGGCAGTGTGTGTGTATGTAAAGGTATGGGGCAGTGTGTGTGTATGGGGGGCAGTATGGGTGCGGGGGGGTGGTGTGTGTATGGGGCAGTAAGGGTGTATAAAGGTGTGGGTGTTTGGGGCAGTATGGGTGTATGGGGCAGTATGTATGGGGGTGTGCATGGGGGCAGTGTGTGTGTGTATGGGGGCAGTGGGTGTATGGGGGCAGTATGGGTGTATAAAGGTGTGGGGTGTATAAAGGTGTGTATTAAAGGTGTGGGTGTATGTAAAGGGTGGGTGTATGGGGGCAGTGTGGGTGTATGGGGGGCAGTATGGGTGTATGGGGGGCAGTGTGTGTATGGGGGGCAGTGTGGGTGTATGGGGGCAGTGTGTGTGTGTAGAGTGTGTGTGTGTGTGTGATATAAGGGTAGGGGGGCTTTTATATATTATATATATATAATTTTAATTAAAATATATATTTATGTCCCCCCTCCCTTCTTACCTTTACTGGGGGGAGAGGGTACATTTCCCTGGTGGTCGGGTGGGGGATTCATTGGTGGTCCCAGTGGGGAGAGTGAACTCTAGCCCACGCTCCAGGGCTAGAGTTCACTCTCGCGAGATTTGGAGCGTTGCCGTGGTAACCGCAGCAACGCTTCAACTCCCGTGAGAGGAGGACCCGGAGGAGCTGCAGCCTGAGCTCCGGGTCCTCTATCCCTCCCTCCCCCGCCAGCTGTCAGCACTGTGCCTGCGGACCGGGGAGGGAGATCTGTGATCTCCCCTCCGGTCCACAGGCACATTGCTGGGCTGGCAGGAGAGGGAGACCGTCGGTATTCTCGGGCAATTGTCACATGATGCCGGAAACAGGAAGTGACACACATGTAGAAAGAGTGTATACCAAGTTGTTATAACAACCTGGTAGATTTGCATACACACAAGTTAAAGATACAGTGCCTACACCCCCAGCCTAATTAGTGATAAGAGAGTTATAGTGAGGAAGAAAGAGAATAAAATACATATACATAATACATAATATATCATAGGAAGTGGCTACCCTGTCCCCCTTACAGGAGATATAAACAGATTGTGTTAGAGCTAGAATGAAAAACATCATGTTATTAAAAGCCTTAAATAAAGCTGAAATCTGCTGGAAATAAAGTGCTTTTTAATTAAAGTGCTAAGTGACCAGAAGTGCCATATGTAAAGTACTTGCTAGATTATAAAGTGCTGAATAGATTGATAACTCAATCGTGATATGATGGAGTTCTATAACCCATACTCAAAGTGCTGTCATAACAGAACATACTTATAAAAGTGATAGTGCCTATATCTCAAGTGCTGAATTTACAAATAAAGTGCTGAACACATCAAAGTGCTAGAAATATTGTTCTGTAAACATTAAAGTGAATCACGTGCAACATAATATTAATAGCAATTGCCATCTAGCTATGTACATAAAACCAGATGCTATGTCAGACAAAAATTAATTTTTTTTTAAAAATACATTAAAAACATTATTCTTATTGCATAGGGGTTCATATTTTTAAAGAAATGAATGATAAGAAATCATCTCATTCAGTCCTTTGGGTGCAATCGTATTTAACTGGAAAATCCACTCTGTTAAGGAGGAGTTTGCCACGATCTCCCCCTCGCCTTGGTATCGGAATGTGGTCTATTGCAATGAATTTTAATGAAGAAAGCGGATGTTTCATGTTTAAAAAGTGTTGTGCCACAGGTTATTCTGAGCATCCATCTCGGTATGCCACCCGTATAGCCGACCTATGTCCACGTATCTTGTCACATAAAGGGGTTTCAGTTTTGCCAATATAAGACAGCCCACATGGACATGTTAATTTATACACCACAGATGGTATTTTACATGTGATTGTATGTTGTATTTTAAACACTTTATTATTATGTGGATGTTGAAAAGTTCTTGACAGGGTCATGTGACTACATGTAACGCACCCTAAACAACGGACACTACCACGTAATTGGACTGTCGCTTCTTGGCTATAACTTTTAAACGGATCCATCTGTACCAATATATCCTTCAATGTTTTATTCCATTTGAAGCAAATCAATGGATTTTCTTTAAACACTTTTGGCAAGGTATCATCGCTTGCCAGCATCTTCCAATTTTGTTTGATGATTTTAATTATTTTAGGTGAAGCGTCATTGTAGGCAATTGGAAATACCATCGCTGGTGGTTTTTTAATTTGTATCTTGGCACCGGCATTCCTTGACTCCTGTTGTGCCCTGAGCAGTTCCTGACGTTGATAACCCCTTTCGAGGAATTTTTGGGTCATCTCCTCTATTTGTTCCTCCATCTTCTGTTGATCCGAATTGTTACGTGCAACTCTCAAGAATTGCGCTTTGGGCAATGATTCCTTTAACTTTCTCGGATGTGCACTTTTATTGTGCAACAACGTATTTCGGTCTGTATTTTATTTATATAAACAGTGTGTAATGCCATGTTCCTTGATAGAAATTTCCAAATCTAGATATTGAATAATGGATGTACTGATGTTCGATGTAAACCTAATTGGAGTGTCTAATTCATTCAAATGCTGAACCATTTCTTGCGCTTTCTCCACTGTTCCTTTCCAAAAAATCAACAGATCGTCGATGTAACGAAAGTATGCCTTGATGTAATGGTTGAACTTGGAGAAGATGTACTTTTTCTCATAGATATGCATGTAGGAGTTAGCATACATAGGGCCATCGTGAGTGCAAGGACTTTTTCTATTTTTGTTTTATATATAAAAAAAAAAAAAATATATATATATATATATAAAAAAATACCCTTAACTGAGCCTAATAGATAACTCTCACGGGATAGGATTCTCTTATATGCACCTGGAACAAAATTGGGGATATGTGTAATAAGTAAAATGTATGATAGTAAAACGGAAAAAAATAAGAGATTTTTTTTTTTTTTTTGGTGTGTAGAAATTCTATGTGTCTAAAGTTTGTCAATGGTATTGCTAGCCTAGGTTGGAGACGGATAGTGCAACAGGAGATTAGTAAGATCGTGTATAGAGGTTCCTCAACGTAGGATGATTAAGACAAGCCCCTTAACTGAGCATTAACGTGTAAACGTACAAGGCAATACAAGACATTGATGTACCGGTTATGATTGAATATGAGCGTAAGGAAATGGAAATACCCGAAACACAATTGTCCGGAAGAAAAATTCTGTCCCAGTTTAATCAGGAAACTTGCTAATCCTAGAAATAGGCACCTAAGATACACATTTGATATGAGGACAATATGAGTACCATGCAAAGGAACTCCGTATATACAGATTAGTATGTATTTACGTATGGGTATCTAACCTGATTGTGTAATAAACCGTTTTATATATTATATATATATATTTCAAGTTAAATAACCGTGTAGCAGGGGATGGTGAGGGAAGTAATGTGACTGGCCCTTGGGATTCAGGGAATTAACCTGCAGATACGTGCAATAATGTACTGAAGTGTCTATGATATTTTAAATGTCTAAGAACTGCTTAGCCCGAATCAGTTTAATTTGTACAAATAAGCATATTTACTCAACGTAATTGTGACTTATGCAAATTCCAACAAATAGTAGAAAACCAATAACAGTGGTAGACTTTATATATATATATTTAGGTTTTTAATGGGCATTTGGTATAGCTAACGTATGAATGAAATAGTGCAACCGTTCAGCTTAATAACTGAATGCACTGAGTGTATAAGACAGAGGAACGAATACCCGTGGTTTAAATGAAATATATAATAAACAGTATTTAAATGAATGGATTTAAACATAATGAATTTAAACATGATTAATTTAAATGAAATGACTAAACGAAATGCATTTAAATGAAAGTGATTACATGAATGGTTTTAAACGAAGAGTTTTAGACTAATGCTTTAACGAAATAATATAAACGAAATGATTCATACAAATTAATTTAAATGAATGCATTTAAATGAAAGTGATTACATAAATGCAAAGTAAACGAACGGAATTAGACGAACGGCATAGGAATTAGACAAATGGTATAATAAAGTTAAATGGAGGGAGCCAATCCAAGCATTTGTAAGGCCCAAAAGTGGGAACGCCGCGAATGGGTTCCCACGTGTACATACGTGAGCGTGCGGCAGGAAGCCAGTTACAAAGAACGGGAACCGGGTAGGAGGCCCTGCGGGTGGATGGAGCCCCAAATGAAGCTGCAAGTCAGATTTGGAGAGCTGTAAGCCGGGTCAGAGGCTGAAGACGAGTCCGTGGCTGTTTCTGGAGCAAATGGAGGGCCACAGAAACCGGAAATGCTGGTTGTCGTGCCAAGTCACTCTTACAGGAACCAGCATAGGTAAGCAGGGGGGTAGAGCTTTTATAGGGAAACTCCTCCCATAAATTCAGGCCTATGGCCTTTTACAAACACACACACACATACATATATATATATATATAGATATATATATATATATATACACACACACCTTGTTCCAAATTATTATGCAAATTATATTTTTCTCATTTCCCTAAATAATTGATGTAAATAACAGTCAGCAAAATTCTCGTGTTATCAACTGTACAATTCAAATTTTATTGAACAAACCTCCTAATGATAACAGTATTTTTTTTAAACATAAAAAAACTTACAATGCACTGTTCCAAATTATTACGCACAGTAAGTTTCAAAACACTTTATAGGTTGTAAAGAACTGAAAATTGTCATTTGTTGTGTTTGCAGCATATTTACTGAAATCAAACTTATTTAACAGGTCACGCTACATGTGGCGGAACCAACCTCGCCACTATGCACTGGAGAAGCCTGGTTGCCAGCCTCCTGCCATGTGACTATGGCCCCTGGGATGTATTGCCCTTTAAAGACATGATTTGGGCATAATGGATTTGTGTTGTGCTGCTGCTAGCCCTTTTAAGAACCATCTGGGGACATACTGTGGAGTTACTGGGTGGCCACCATTTCCTGTATCAGAAGCACATGGTGAGAACAATGGATGGCGGCCATTTTAACTCACAGACACTGTGTGGACTTTTCAACACGGTGCCATCTCGCCAGTATTTGTTGCACAGAGACATCGTGCGGTGGTTTGGACTATACAGCAGGGGACACATTATAGAGTGATTGTTTTTTATTTAGCCTGTATATGTTCTGCAGAATCTGCATTAAACTGTATTTTCCAAAGTACTGAACGGATCTGGGTGAATTTTGGATATGTGGTTCACCCAGATCCCCCAGTTCCAAGGATATACTTTTATGGGGTTATTGCATGTTTTGGGGTCCCTGTGATGTGTTTTATGAAACTGTATTTCTCTGGCTGTGATAATTAGATTACCCATTGTGTTCAGCAATCATATCACAGCCAGAGGGGAGGATTTTGTGTGGGAGTGTCTGGGTGTATTGTATGGATTGATTGGCTGTTTTGTAACGCCCTGTGGGCTGTACTATGTTTGTGGATTGGGAATAAAAGAGACTGTATGTGACAGTACAGGGAGTTCCTGTTTTAACCCTCAAAGTGAAGTGTCGTCTCATTATTGGGGGAAGGATTCATTGTATGCTGTTCCAGTTTGACTGCTAGGAGAGTAAACCTATTCGTATGGTTCCTATTCAACTGTCTACAGCATTCATATGCTTGGGATAATTTATTTGTTTCTCCGGTTCGGTGATTGTGGTGTCTGCCAGAGTGCTTGGAGTCCTCAGGAAGCGCTAGGAGCATCCTTCAACGGAGGTACCCAGTCGGGGTGCCAGGCGATCCGTTACATTGGTGGCAAGCGGTGGGATGGCGTCCTAGTGCGAGGTAAAGCAGCTCGGAGACACAGTTCGTGGATTTACAAATTGAGGGCAACGCTAGTACCCGTACAGCGACCCTATCTACAAAAGAACTAACTTCAGCAGAGCAAGCATGGCGTATGACTACACTCAGGAGGAGTTTGACAGAGAGGTTAATGAGGTGCTGTCTACCTTTGGACCCAACCCCCCAGAGAGAGCCGTGCAGCTCGCCAGGAAACTAGTAGGAGAATACCTGCAATCTCTAGTAGATTTGGCCAAAAAGGAGTCCCAGGGAGCCAAAGGTGTCGTCCTTCCTCCCCAGCGGCAGTGTGAGTCCCAGGGAGCCAAAGGTGTCGTCCTTCCTCCCCAGCGGCAGTGTGTACCCCAGGGAGCAGAAGGTGTTGTCCTTCCTCCCCAGCGGCAGTGTGTGTCCCAGGGAGCCAAAGGTGTCGTCCTTCCTCCCCAGCAGCAGTGTGTGTCCCAGGGAGCTGAAGGTGCGTCCTTCCTCCCCAGCGGCAGTGTGTGTCCCAGGGAGCTGAAGGTGCCGTCCTTCCTCCCCAGCGGCAGTGTGTATCCCAGGGAGCTGTGTCCCCAGCGGCAGTGTGTGTCCCAGGGAGCTGAAGGTGTCGTCCTTCCTCCCCAGCGGCAGTGTGTACCCCAGGGAGCAGAAGGTGCTGTCCTTCCTCCCCCAGCAGAAGCAGTGTCGTCCTTCCTCCCCAGCGGCAGTGCCCCAGGGAGCTGAAGGTGCCGTCCTTCCTCCCCAGCGGCAGTGTGTACCCCAGGGAGCTGAAGGTGCCGTCCTTCCTCCCCAGTACAGTGTGTCCTTACTCCCAGGGAGCTGAAGGTGGCAGTGTCCTTCCTCCCCAGCGGCAGTGTGTGTCCCAGGGATGAAGGTGCCGTCCTTCCTCCCCAGCTGCAGTGTGTATCCCAGGGAGCTGGAAGAAGTCAGTCCTTCCTCCCAGCTGGCAGTGTGTACCCCAGGGAGCAGAAGGTCCTTCCTCCCCAGCGGCAGTGTGTATTCCAGGGAGCTGAAGGTGCCGTCCTTCCTCCCCAGCGGCAGTGTGTACCCCAGGGAGCTGAAGGTGCCGTCCTTCCTCCCCAGCGGCAGTGTGAGTCCCAGGGAGCCAAAGGTGTCGTCCTTCTTCCCCAGCGGTAGTGTGTACCCCAGGGAGCTGAAGGTGCCATCCTTCCTCCCCAGCGGCACTGTGTATCCCAGGGAGCTGAAGGTGTCGTCCTTCCTCCCCAGCGGCAGTATGTATCCCAGGGAGCTGAAGGTGCCGTACTTCCTCCCCAGCAGCAGTGTGTCCTGCAGGAAGCGGAGACAGTCGGTTTCGCTCCCCAGCAGCAGGACAATATATTAAAAGGGGAGACAGTTGGTCCCCCTCTCCAACAGCAGAGAGTGTTCCAGGGAGAGGAACCGGTTATCACCTCTCCCCAGCAACAGGACAAATTATTGAAAGGGGAGACAGTCGGTCTCCCCCTCCAACAGCAAAGAGAGTGTCAGGGAGAGGAGCTTGTTATCCCCTCTCCCCAGCGGCTGAAAGTATGTATGGGAGAGGAGCTTGTTACCCCCTCTCCCCAGCGGCAGCTTAGCCCACCAAGGGGAGACAGTAATTTCCACAACAGTGCAGATGGGACAGTGGTCTCTGCACATGCACCACCAGGGGTAGGGACAGTCAGTCCTGTCCCCCAGCAGCAGGACTGTTTAGGCAAAGGGGAGACAGTCTGTCTCCCCCTTCAGCAACCAGGCTCCAACCAGACTACTCCCGTGGTAGTGCTGGCACCAGGACAGAGTACCGCTGGTCTCTGCCCACTCAGCAACCCACCCAGTACGCTTACCAGTCACCCACACAGCCATGGTGAGGCACCTGGACACGGACAAAGTTCTCCTCTACCCAGGTGCAGTAGCCAGTTATTGTGGGTGGGCTGTATTACTGATTGTGTTTTGTGGGTGGGCTGCTGGACTAACAAGGGCACTGACCGGCAGGAGGTCAGATACCCTGTTAGTCTGATTGGTAAAGGGGAGAAGTGTGGCGGAACCATCCTCGCCACTATGCACTGGAGAAGCCTGGTTGCCAGCCTCCTGCCATGTGACTATGGCCCCTGGGATGTATTGCCCCTTAAAGACATGATTTGGGCATAATAGGTTTTGTGTTGTGCTGCTGCTAGCCCTTTTAAGAACCATCTGGGGACATACTGTGGAGTTACTGGGTGGCCACCATTTCCTGTATCAGAAGCACATGGTGAGAACAATGGATGGCGGCCATTTTAACTCACGGACACTGTGTGGACTTTTCAACACGGTGCCATCTCGCCAGTATTTGTTGCACAGAGACATCGTGCGGTGGTTTTGGACTATACAGCAGGGGACACATTATGCAGTGATTGTTTTTTATTTAGCCTGTATATGTTCTGCAGAATCTGCATTAAACTGTATTTTCCAAAGTACTGAACGGATCTGGGTGAATTTTTATGGGGTTATTGCATGTTTTGGGGTCCCTGTGATGTGTTTTATGAAACTATTTCTCTGGCTGTGGTAATTAGATTACCCATTGTGTTCAGTAATCATATCACAGCCAGAGGGGAGGATTTTGTGTGGGAGTGTCTGGGTGTATTGTATGGATTGATTGGCTGTTTTGTAACGCCCTGTGGGATGTACTATGTTTGTGGATTGGGAATAAAAGAGACTGTATGTGACATTACAGGGAGTTCCTGTTTTAACCCTCAAAGTGAAGTGTCGTCTCATTATTGGGGGAAGGATTCATTGTATGCTGTTCCAGTTTGACTGCGAGGAGAGTAAACCTATTCGTATGGTTCCTATTCAACTGTCTACAGCATTCATATGCTTGAGATGATTCAAATGCTTCTCCGGTTCGGTGGTTGTGGTGTCTGCTGCAGTGCTTGGAGTCCTCAGGAAGCGCTAGGAGCATCCTTTAATGGAGGTACCCAGTCGGGGTGCCAGGTGATCCGTTACACTACATTTTAACATAGGACCCCTTATTTGATAGCAGCTTCAAGTCTTGCATCCATTGAACTTGTGGACAGTTTCTGCTTGAATTTGTTTGCAAGGTGTCAGAACAGCCTCCAAGAGCTGCTGTTTGGATGTAAAATGCCTCCCACCCTCATAGATCTTTTGCTTGAGGATGCTCCAAACATTCTCAATAGGATTGAGGTCAGGGGAGGATGGAGGCCACACCATGACTTTCTCTCCTTTTATCCCCATAGCAGCCATTGATGCAGAAGTATTCTTTGTAGCATGAGATGGTGCATTGTCATGCATGAAGATGAATTTATAATGAATAGCATAGTTCTTACTTCTGTACCAGGGAAGAAAGTGGTCAGTCAGAAACTCCACATACCTTCCGGGACCCTAAAGGGGCAGACCCCCATGATTCCGGCCCAAAACATGACTCCACCACCGCCTTGCTTAAGTCGCAGCCCAACCATCCACTACTCCATCCATCTGGACCATCCAGGGTTGCACGGCACTCATCAGTGAACAGGACTGTTTGAAAATTAGTCTTCAAGTATTTTTCTGCCCAATGCAGCGGTTTCTGCTTGTGAGCATTGGTTAGTGGGGGCCGAATAGAAGGTTTATGCACAGTTGCAAGACTCTGGAGGACTCTACACCTTGATGTCCGTGGGACTCCAGAGGCACCAGCAGCTTCAGATATCTGTTTGCTGCTATGTAATGGTGTTTTAGCAGCTGCTCTCTTGATCCGATGCATGGATCTGGCAGAAATCGTCCTCAATGTGCCTTTATCTGCACAAACCCGTCTGTGCTATGAATGAGCCACAAATCTCTTAATAGTGCGATGATCACGCTTAAAGGACCACTCTAGGCACCCAGACCACTTCAGCTTAATGAAGTGGTCTGGGTGCCAGGTCCTTCTAGGGTTAACCCATTTTTTTATAAACATAGTAGTTTCAG